AGCATTATAAGTAAATAAACAATAATAAAGTCAGAAGTATTAATAGATTAACAATAAATGTTTATAAAAGTTTAAACTAAATAAACAGGAAAACACAATATTTTATTGCAAAACATCTAATTTAACAATAAGTATATAAAATTTAGTGTTTTTTAAATAAACAATTTTAGTCCACTGAAGACCTAATGGTTGTAAAACATTTTATAATTATAAAACAAATATGGACTTTTACTTTAGATGAGCAAAGATGATGTATGCGCTTTTTAAATTTGTGTATCATTCTATTTGTGTACAATTAAAATATGTTAATTACCTATTAAGATATGTGTAACAATTCTGTTTTTGTTGATTAGAAATGATTTTATTAGATCCTTAAATAAAACTATGAATTAATTTTTGAAGCATAATTTAAATGCGTCAGGTCATTATAGTAAATACACACAAAATTGTAGGCAAATACAAACAAAATACAAACAATACGAATACGAGTAGTTGAACAGTATATTTGTTCTACGATCTACAAAGAATATATACAAAATGAATTTTTAATAAATGTTATATTTACACTTACAATTAATATATTACATATCTACAGTACGTTGCAAATGTAAGAAATAAATATTTTAATATTATTATATTGTAATATTATAATAAATATTTCAAAAAATATTACTTTTGAAAAAATCTCAACACACGTCAGGGTTTGAAAGGTCATCTCATCTCATCTCATCTTAATGGAAGGCCATAGAATGCGTTTGAATACTTAAATTTTTAATATTAAAACGAAAGGGTAATTAATACAAATTAAGTAAAATGCTGAATTCGGTTTTTCGACGGATTATATATATTTCTGAAATAGTTACATCCTTCAAAGATTATTTGTAAAGACAAACAGACATGTTTTTGTGATTACAATAAAAATGTAATTAAGGCAGAGTTTTAATAAGAAACTTAATTTTGCAAAATATTGGAAATACTACAACATTTGTAACGAGGGCAAGAAGTAAGGTATTATATATTACATTAAGTACACTGAGCATTAAAGATCTAGTTTCAAAGCTTCCTGGAGAGTAAAAAGGAAAGAGCTCGCCTCTAACTCAAAACTTCCTTAAACACTTTTGAACCATTTAAGTCTCCAGGTGTGGATGGAATATTTGAGGGGACTAGTATCAACGGCGGCAATATCCACCATTATCGCGTTTGAGTAAGGCGCAAAACAATGCTATGTTCGTAATATGACTAATATCGATACAAAAAACTTTTTAACTAAAGATGATTTAAAAAAATGAAAAAAAGTAAGGGAGAATGTTGTATTTGATATTGAAGTTGGAAATTTCTGGTTTTGATACCAAAAATCATATTTCCTGCCCTGATTCAGCGGGCACACATTATCCGGATATCCCGAAGCAGTCTGAAACTGAGATATATACCAAACTCAGGGAGAAAGGTAAAAATCACCCTTATTCCAAATGTAAGGAAACCTGATACCACAGATCCTAAATCTTTCCGACCAATCAGCCTCGCATCTTTTGTATTAAAAACAATGGAAAAGGCTATTAATAATTATATCAGAACTGTCCTGGAGAGAGTACCACTTCACCACAGCCAGGCCAGCACGCGTACCAAGCAGGAAGATCTACAGAAATTGGTACAGCTAACAAAGAAACGGTTGTGTGTGTCTTGATAGACATAGAATGAGCATTTGACAAAAAACCAGACGAATCTGTCAAAAGATAACTTGCATACAGAGGAGTAGATGGCACTTCATTAAGATGGATAGCTCAGCTGCTATCTACGAGAAATGCAGATACACAGATAGGGCAGGATAGCATCTCCATCTGCACCACTAGAGGATGCCCATATGGAGGAGTTCTATGCCCTCTAATGTGGAGCCTAACCGTAGACGAACTTCTATGCAAATCGACTGGCCTCGGCTAGAGACAAGTATGGAAATATTCTGTATGATATAATCCAAAGGGGACTAGAACACACCAAAAGATGATGCCGTGAGGTAGAAGTATAAACCCCACGAAAACAACACTAGTAGCCTTTTCAAGGAAAATAAAATTTTCAAAACCATCAAATTAGACGGGACAGATATAAAATGGAAAAATGAAGTCAAATATCTAGACCTAATCCAGGACAACAAACTTCTCTGAAACCTACATTAAAAGAAAGTAGTAAATAAGGCTACTAAAGCCCTCATGGTGTGTAGAAACATTATGGGTAAACGATGGGGCTATAACCCGAACATACTGCGATCCCTTACAGGGCTATAGCCGGGAGTAACAGAACGAGTTTAGCTACGAGTACAATAAGAACCTGTCATACGGCCGCAATGAAGGTGATTTTAAACCCCACCCCTCTCTACATTTAATGGTAAAGAATGTGGCAAAAATAAAAAGATATAGAATGATCAGGAACGAAATAATCAGAGTAAAGTCTATTAGCTTCAGGGCTGAAGTTACTTGGGATATGCTCCAAGATGAATTGAGAAAGAAGTACAGTTTTGTGAAAAACTTCAAAATCACAGAAATAGGCTGATAGAAAGAATGGGACCAAGAATCCATCATTGTATGCTATTTAATGGTATACGGATGGTTCCAAAACCATAGAAAGAACTAGAATAAAAATGTATGGGAGAACTAGGTACGCTGAAAGTTTGTAAAAATACGGAAGCATCTTCGAGGTGAAAATTAACGCCATCGAGTACTTAAAATCGATGTACTTTTCAGCCTTTTCGAGGCTTGTATACGAAAATGGGGCACCTAAACCTGTCACTATCTAACGGACTATGAGTAAAACCCCAGTAACTACACAAACTATGGAATGGAGATATTTGCATTAAAAAAAATTTATTAGCTTTAGCATTTTGATCAGTAATACCAATATAGTTGAATTAAAGACAATTTTTGGATAATGTTTTTAACTAGTTAAAAATAAGTTTGATTTAATTTTTTGTTTTGGCTTGTGGGTTTAAAGGTTTTTGTTAAAAATGTTAGTTACGGTGAAGAATTAAGTTGACATTTTATGATAAAGAATAAATATTACATAGATTTTGTTTACATTTCAGAAAGAAAAAAGCATTAATATCAGAATGGTCGAATGTCCTCAAATATTTGTAATTTGTTAGTTAGGGGTATTTGGCTTATAACAACAGTTTTTTATGCGCGTTCTGATGCATTCTTTCAGCTTTTTAAGATTATTTGGTTGACTTTGATAAACTTTACTCTTCAATTATACCTAAAAAAAATTCTTACAGGCACAAATCTGGAGATCTCGTTGGCCCCATTAGGTCCATCCTCTTCTCCCTAGCCGCCTACCCAAAAAAATCTCGGATGACGTTATTTAAGTAGATTCGCATATTCTACTAAAACAAATACATAATTTGAGTCAGCCCTGTAAAAATAAATATTCGAATAATTATATCGTTGAATAGACGATTACGAGACCTTTTAAATGTGGTATCTTATGAACCCAGTTTGTATTTAAAACAGTCGTTGATTACGCCATTTTGCCAATAATGGTGACTTTGTGTCTTATATGTATAAAATAAAAGTTTAAATTGATATTTTTTCAAATGAATTTATTCCATATATATAGTCATCATACTATATATTTAAATTGGTTTTAGTATACAGGGTGTACCAATAAAAACTCCCAGGCCGGTAAGTAATAGAGATATTTTAATTCTGTAAAAGCCAGCTCATAGATATAAATTATCGAAAAAAATATATTGACCTATTTAAAATTAATTTTGGTGAGTATAAAATAAATTTATTAATTCCAGTGGCGTCTCAAGGGGCTACCTACTTGATACTTATAGGTAAAATTATGGTACGGCACTGCTTTTTGACAGTTTAAATTTTTTTTTTAGATTAAGCGATCCATAATGTAACTTTCTTGCCTCTTGAGCTTTACTCGTATCTAGCTTTGCTTCCAAGAAAAAAATCCAAATCTGTGCCTGACCCTATTAAAACTGTAAAAAACTGATTACTAAATGATGGAGATTGTCGCCAAATAGATCTGTCTAAATTTTTATTTGTGTTATGAAATTTCATTCATTATTTATTCCAGTGGCGTCTCAAAGTGTGATTTTATTTAATTAATAATTGTTAAAAAACCAATTTTTCTAGAAAACGAAGCAAGTGTCCTAACATTATGTAAAATTTTTTTCTTATTTTTGACAGGTAAATACGCTCTTAAAACCTTTGCACTCAATTTTGAATCACCCTGTATAGTGAATATTTTTTGGATTGCCATTAATTATCCATTTTTTACTAGAATCGTTCATTATAAATTTACTTTTATATTAATAATAACATAACACAGAAATTGCTGGAATGTTATCTATTCCAGAAGCTTTATAGATAAGATAAATTTTTATAAAAAAAATTAAGTTAATAAGATTGATATTGATTTTTAAGATACTATTTGCCACACTTCTTTTAACCTTTAAATCGTTGAAAAATTATATAAAATTCGTTGTGTATTTTAGTTTAAATTGGAGAGGAAGAGGAATTTACTGTTTTACAAATAATTATCTTGCATGCAATAGGTAGGGGTATGTATTAAAAAAATTGTTTTAAAATAACTCCCCCGACACCCACAACTCAAGTACAAAACAGTGACTATCTAAAACAATTTACACTTGATCTTCAAGTGCACAAGTGGGGAAAATATTCCGTGAATTGACATCAACATACACATATATAAAAGTAAACTGATAGCGTTTTCAGAATTGACGCTGTACTCTCGCCATCTACCTGTAGCGCTCAAAAATACATTTCGTTCTTTATAACATACGCCAACATCCAAATCAAAAATTCTATTTCTAATAATAAACAGAATAGTTCCAAAGATTTTTTTTTATAAAAATCAAAAGTGATACAGTCGTGATAGTTGTGTGGTTGGTGAATTAGTGAATTATTTCCTTATTGTTTATAGAGAGAAAATTGCAGGACCGGCGGTACAGGATTTAATGCTAGGCACCACGCATTATGAACGGATTTCAAAACGATGGATTTGCTGAAGACGCAAGAACGGATAGCTATAGCAGGTAACCAATTTTGTTATCAACATTTGTTATTTATTTGACTCAATAAATATTGACTCTCCAAATAAACATTTAACAATTTTTTTAATTTTAAACTCTTTTCTAATATTCAAATAAGACGAAGCCTGGACTTGTACGATACTGATAAATATATTTTGAATATTTTCAAAATTTGTTTCAATTTTTGTTGCATAAAAGTGAATGCAAAATATTCTAATTTGTTATGAATGAGAGATTTTTTTTTAATTGGATATAAATCAGTAAAGACCCAAGTCGTGCGTTTTAGGTAACAAAATCTATACCCTAGTCAGTCATTTTTGTCACTGTCTAGATAGTCACCTAGGGTGGATATTTTTTCAAAAACTTTTTGATCATTCGTAGAGGATGATTATTGACAAATATTAAGAAAAGTAGAGGGCCTAAATTGGAGCCCTGAGGAACCCCATAGCCTGCGAGGATTGTATGAGGTACTTTACCACCTAACATTACGTATGGAGATTTCATATTTAGATAAGACAAGAATACATTTATTAAAAGATTGTTAAGACAGTTCAAGCTATTTACGACATCGAATGCCTTGTTAAAATCAATGTAAATACAATCGACATTTACGGGAAATAACTCATTTTGGTATTTTATTACCTACTAAAAGTTAACAAATTTGTATCTACAGGTTTTTTACGAAAAAACCTGTGTTGTTCAGTTAGTATTTATTTTTAAAAGTAAGCATGTATCATCATATATTATAATTTAATATGGCTACGGGACTATTTTTACCTATTTTATTTTGATTTTTTTTTTAAACTAATGTCAATCTCGTTTTCTTTAATTATTCACTGTTATAACAATGACATGATATTTAGTTTGAAAATGGGTTTTCAAAATCAACGGCTTCTTCATTTTATAGAGCTTGCTTTTTGCTAAAAATTTTAAGTAGATATGTTTTTTGTTTTTGAGTTAGAACTTTTTTTTATATTTCAACCCCCCTAAACCCCATATTTTAATTTAGATTTTTTTAGAATCAATACGCTTTATCTTCTATTAAATATTGATGTTGGCTAAAAATTTTAGGTGGATATTTTTTGTTCTTGAGTTAAGATTTTTTAAAATATTTCAACCCCCCTTAACCACTCATTTTTATTTAGATTTGTTTAGAATCAATAGGCTTCATTCCCGTATAAAATTTGATTTTTGCTGAAGATTTCAATTTGATATCGTTTTTTGTTTCGAAGTTCGCTAAAAATTTCATGTAAATCTTTTTCTGTTTTTGAGTTATGGTTTTTTTAATATTTAATTTTTATAGAGCCTAATTTTCATGTTGCTATTGCTTTTCATTTTTGATTTATGATTTTTTTTATCAGATTTTTTCAAAATCAATAGGCATAGCTTTTTCGTTTTTGACTTGGGATTTTTTTTACTATTTCAACCCGCTTAACCCCCATTTTTAGTCGGATTTTTAAAAATTAAATAGGTTTCGTCCCCTTATTGAGTTTGATTTTTTCTGAAATTTTTAAATTGATTGATATCTTTTTTTGGACAGACGGAACCAAATGCATAATACTCTTCACACCCTACTGTGTGAAGAGTATAATAACGACACAATACATTTTGTTTATAAATTTACCATTTAATCAATAAAATTAACAATTTTACATGAAATGAACTTCTTGATGGGTAAAACAAAGTCAGTAGTTGTAATATAAAATATTATTATGGCAAAACATTATTAGAAATGAATTACTGTATAATTTAACAATAAATGATAGGATAGTAAACTTTTTGTACGACTTAGCAACAGCGTAAAACATACAGCTTTGATTTAAGACATTTTGGATTTTTTTTCTAATTGTCTTATTATTCATTATCATAATTTTTTTCAAAATCGAACGACTTCTTCCTCTTATAGAATCTGATTTTTGCTAAAAATTTCATGTAGATATCCTTTTTCGTTTTTTAGTTATGATACTCGAAGAAATAAGATTTTTTGTTTACACTAATGATACCTATAATAGTTTTTCATAAGCGAAAAGAGGTCAAACTAGATAATAACGTGATGTTTTATGAGTGAAAGCGGAAAATCCTTGACTCAAAATACGAAAATTTCACATGAAATAAATGATAGAATTCAACGTCTTTATTTAAAAATTAATTTATATCCATTATTTTGACATTTTCATAATTGTGTGTCGTTTTCGATCTAGCAAGGATATTTTAAGACACTAGAGCGGTAAATAGGTATAGCAGCTACGTCACTGGAAGAAACGTAATTTTAGTATCATTTCTTAATTATAGTGTTTTTTCCTTCGTAAATAAATAATAACTCATATTAAATATAGTGTAATTCTTAACCTATACGCATACATTTGGGAAATGATTATTAGTGAAAAAAAAAAAAGTTTAATTAAATATTTTTGTATTCGGAGATAACAATTTATTTCAAAAAGAATCCGAATTTCCTAAAATTAAAAATGAATTAAATCTATCACATTAACTGATAGAAGTTATTTCCGTGGTTTTCAGTATACAGTGGAACTGATGTGATAAATTTAATTAATTTTCAATTTTAGGAAATTTAAATAATTTTTTTTTATTTCAAATAAATTGTTATCTCCGAAACTAAAAGTGTTTTATTAAACTTTTTTCTTCACTATTAATCATTATTTGTCATCTATCATTCCCCAAATGCGTATAGGTTAAGAATCACCCTGTATAATTAGTGATTCTTGTGAATAATTAATAAATAATAATATTCCACTAGATATTCGTCTATATTTATAGGAATCATGATGGTCCCTATTTGAGAAATTTGACAAAATGTTAAAAAAATAATTTTTTATAAAAATTGTTCAAATAAAAGTTGTTTGTAATATAATTCTCTATAATTTTTATCCTATACATAATTTCTCTAAAATGGACCGTATTCGAGATATTTAAGAAAATGTGTAAATTTCGAATTTTGAAGAAAACTCAGAAACGGATAAAGAAAAAACATTTAATTTTAAACATAAGTTTTATTTCGGCCTGACGTAAAATGATAAGATTTTGGACAAAGTCGGGGGTGCTTTATGGGAAGCCGTTTTTATATTTTATGGAATATATCTGTTATTTATGTTTGAAGAAATAAAAGTTGTTTGCGATATCGATCTCTATAATTTTTTTTCTAATAATTATAAAAAGTATCTAAGATGACTGTATTCCTTTCATTTGTACCACACTGCATGCTTATCATACGGTGCAATATCAAGCCAATACAATGATTTACAAATAATTTAAAAATCTTTTAATGCAATAATGTTTGCTAACAATTATCAAAATATTTCTATTTAAGTATTTCGTAGAAGATTTATGTGGATGACAGATCATTTACTTTTTCGAATAAATAATACACTATAAAAATAAAAATAAAATTCTTGAAGGTTAAGTACGCATTTTTGGGTATCTGCCAAAGTGATCATTTTCTAAATAAATTTTATAGATGATGAAAGAGTAGAGCTTGTCAATTAAAAAAATGTAAATATACAGATCGGATTTTATTATTTTTTTTATTACCAGAAATCAAATCAAAGTTTTTAGTATTACAATTTTATCTCTAATTCATCATATAATGTATAATAAAGAGAACAAAGTAAAAATGGTGAAGATCTTTAAAAGTTATTACTCTTCAAAATATACTTAGAAAAGGGATATTAAGGAAAATGAGTTGGTAGCCATTTTGTGCAACATTTGTTCTTGTTCTTCTTCACGTACGTCATTAATAATCTACCCATATCACATACTTTGATTACTATACGAGGCAAGAGAGAGGTCCGACACGCCCAACATAGGGCGCGGCCATTTTGAACCCTGTGACACAGTTTACAGCTAAAGAATCAGATCGCTCACTCTGCGTCGGCACTTTTGATCTCAATGTTTCAGTTTATACACTGTGCAACTCGGATAATACAATATATGACAACCGCCTATAATTAAACAGCAGTCTTCTGCGTATCCTGAATTTGTATCCCTGGAGTGGATGTTATTTTGGAACTTTCAACTGGTCCGAGTGAGCTAACTGATTCTTTAGCAATAAACTGTGACTTCAAAAATAATATTCACTGACACTGACAGCAGCAAGCAAAATATCAGGTGCGTTTTAATCATCCGATTCTGCTTCCGGAATTGTCGGTTTAGTCGTTTTAACCTGTCAGATTAAAACAAGAAAACCGACTATTCCGAAGCAGAAGCGGATGATTAAAACGCACCTATTAAAAATATTGCGCCAAGATGTAGGCAACACGTAATAAGGGATCAAAATGGCGGAGTTTTCTATCTCCTTTTAAAAGGCACTTAGAAAGCTGCGCAGTGCGACCATTCTCCGTATAGTAAGAGAAAATCAAAGTATGTGATGTGTATACGGAGAATGGTCGCACTGCGCAGCTTTCTGGCAAATTGTCAATTTAAGCTTAACTTATTTTTTAACGACAAGCGGTGCAAATGGACCTGAGTGCCTTTTAAAAGGAGATAGAAAACTCCGCCATTTTGATGCCTTATTACGTGTTGCCTACATCTTGGCGCAATATTTTTAATATTTTAGAGTCACATATGGAGGGTAGGAGAACAATCTCTGTATACAAAAAGTGTCCCTCAAAATGTATACAATTAAGATGGCGCTTCTGTGCCCAGGGGACGTCGACAGTCGATAATTCAGATCACACAATGACACCAATGATGTATATAGTAATAAATATTGCTCAACCATAAAAAACTAAAAACTACACCGTGAAAAGTGACTGATCGTAGAAGAGTAAGTGTTCTGTGATCGTAGATAAATTTTGACAATACACGTCAATAGTCAAATTTTATTGAAAAATAATAATATAAACAATATATAATTCTTATATTAAAATGGCACGGAGGTCTCAATTTACTGCTTCCTGTCTTATTTAATTATGAATGAGCAATCTATATGACTATATAGCATTGGATTTTGTCCCCTGGCTACACGAGCGCCATCTTAATTGTATACATTTTGGTGGCGCCTTTTTAATATAAAGATCCATATAAGATTGTCCTCCTTTTCTCTACCCTCCATAGAGTCACAGTTTATTGCTAAAGAATCATTTAGCTCACTCGGACCAGTTGAAAGTTCCAAAATACCATCCACTCCAGGGATACAAATTCAGGATACGCAGAACACTGCTGTTTTATTATAGGCGGTTGTCATATATTATATTATTCGAGTTGCGCAGTATATAAACTGGAACATTAAGATCAAAAGTGCCGACGCAGAGTGAGCGAACTGATTCTTTAGCTATAAAATGTGGTAAAGGCATCAAAATGGCCGCGCCCTATGTTGGGCGTGTCGGACCTCTCTCTGCACCCTATAGTAATCAAAGTATGTATACAACATCAACTGTAAAGCATATACAATAGACTTTTACCTATTGTATCTAGTATATAACTAATTTTTAAAATATAAGTGACTTTCATCGTTTTTGCTGTGTTCTCTTCATTTATTTTCATCGCTGATCCATCTTTGAACTACTGATGTTTTAGAACACACCAAAAAATATCAGAATTAATAAAAATCATTGTTATTTTTGTCAATTTTAGTTTTTTTTTTTTTTATTACAGTTTCTCTGGGGCCATACATTCTAGAGAACAACTGAATCCAAAACGGAGCACATCTTTCACAGTGGAACTGAAGGATGTTAAAAAAAAGTCCATCGAGGCAGGAGAATATGATCCATACAACTTTCGAGAAGTCGAACATCCCACTACGTAAGTACATTTAGAAATATTTGAATATGTCATTTCTGGAAAACGTCCGAATATAACTATATAATCTTTGTAATGAATTCTATTTTCATTTGTATGTTTTAACCACTTTGCTCAGGATAGTGATTGGCACAGGTGCCGTTTGGTAAAGTACAATGTCTTTACATACGGTGGTTTTTTGGCCATAAAGAATAGGTCCCAAGACACTACCCTGCGGTAGGCCAGAGTTTTTTAAATATATTTTTATGTATAGCAAACTTTTCTTTCTTCTGATCAGTTTTCAATGGTGTTTCTTTTCGATGGACTTGGTCAGAGTGAATAGGATATAAATCAATACATTCGTTTTGTTGTCTGACCAAAAAAGTCTGTAGTCAAGCTAGGATTAAAATATATGATAAAAATTGTGCGGAAGATGTTTTTTTTTGTCACTATCGTCAAGGAATGCGGTTAAGCAGAATCGTTCGAATTTTTTAACTACTCTATGGACTTGTACCATGTGTTACGAAAACCAAATTGTTGGTTGAGAACAAGATTTTTCTCTTCTATTATGGGTTTTAATTTTCTGATAAAAAATTCTTAAATATTTTTGGCACAATTGAAAGCAGGCCAATTGGATTATATGATTTAGAATCTTCTGTCTTTTTCCCGGGATCCTTTGGTATCATTACGATCTGAGTTTCTTTCCATTAATTGGATAAATGGTTGTTATGGCTTTTAAACATGTGATTAAGTCAAACCCAGATACTTTCTTTGAATAAACGTCATTGTATATTTGATTTATTTCCTTAGTTTTAAAATTAGCTAATACTAGTTTCATTTGGAAGGGTAATTTCAGATATAACCTCCAAGGTAAAAACAAATTAATTTAAAAATAAAAAAAAATAAAATAAACAATATTAAATAACAGGAGTTAGATTTGTCCGGAGTCCTATCCCGGCATAGAATTAATTTCTTTTCACATTGTATCTTCAAAAATAATCTTCATTATTTCGTAGGGTTAATGTTGAAAAATATATTTGGGAATGTCCAAAGAATGTATATGGAAGTTCACCTGTCAACATATATAATTAAATGACAGTAGCATTACCGTATTTAGGTAGATCTGATGTGTAGACATGAAATAGAGAAGAAGGCCAAGTACTCGCCCTTGAGACACCTAATAATTTATGGAATGAGATGATTACGAACGTGGTTATGCCTCTTATCTAGAAAAACAGTTGTGCAGTATCCTTAAAAGGCATTTTAAATAATAATTCCAAAATATATTTTATTTAAAATTAATTTTATAAAATTCTTTTTACAATGCATTGTGACATTTATCTACAATCTCTAATTAATACTTTAAAGAACACATAAAGGCATTATTTATCTTGATTAAAGTTATAAACATATTTAGAAACATTGACTTAGATTATATATACGAGGGTAATTCGAAAAGTGTTTATTATTTATAATATTTGCATCATTTTAAAGATTAATAAGAAAATATGGTAAGAAACTGATAAGAAATCAGTTCCGAATGAACATGTTTATTTAAAAGGTTGACAACCGGTTCCGGCTTTAGACCATCATCAAGTCTAAAGAGTAATTAAATAAAAAATACAAAGACATTTTTAAAAATATAATTAAATACAATTAAATGGTTGTTACCTCCCTCAAGGGGGAAGGGAGTTAATTAGATTTTATTGTGGAAGTAGAATATAACAAAGTTGATAAAGATAATAAGGAAGATTATAAAGAAAAAGCGAAAGAAAATACGAGTACCTCTCCTTCAATTTCTGTTTTTGAACAGCGACCAAATTGTGTTATTAGCCGAAAAAATTAAAAATATTCCTCGATTAAATCCACCTATACATAATTATTATTAGAGTACAAGTAATTGATAAACTTTTTCAGGTCATGACTTTAACAAAAATGAATACGGGTAAATTCTGAATGATACAAAGAAAATTTTCCATATTAAGTTACGCATATGAGAAATATGTCTAAAATATCTAAAATTTCCTAAACCACAAACATTTCCGTATGTAAGGAATTTATAATTTTTTTGTTTACCTTTTTATTTCTTTAGAAAAATTATCTATTTAAAGTGTTTTTCCTAAAAGATAAGAATTTTCTAAAAATATTCCATACGTAATTTTGTTGCTTGGTGTGTCGAATGGTTTATCAAAAAAAAGACAATTTATTTAAATACATGTCTTTTTAAAAAATATTTATGACTTTTATAGCTCATTCAATTACGTGTAAACATTATTTTTATTAATTATTATTTATATTTATGTTCTTAAAAGAATAGAAACAGTAATTACAAAGTTATGTCACATAAAATTTTGTTCAATGAATAGTTTTTCTTTTTTTCTATGAAATTGGTTCCAATTATCTTCAGCTCAATAATAATAATGTTTACGTTAATGTATATTTTATTGAACTGTTCGCCCGCTGATGGGTAATATCAAGATGAAGAATTGCTTATTGTCTTATTGTTTTTATACTGTATTCTATAATAGGAGGTAAAAAAGTCGTATGTAAATGTAATACAAAAAACTACAACAGTATCTTTGGTTCTAATGTTTTTATTATTCAACTTGTACTGAAAAGTTACATTTTTTTTTTAATTTAGTGTCATCTGCATCAACTACTAAGGTTGTTATTAGCCTCGTGTTCTATGTAGGCTTTGTACTGTTTTCCAGTGCCACTTTAAGAATTAAAACCCAATAGTGAATTTATCTCTTAAGTTTCAATTAGAAAACAATACAGAATGATATTATTGACATAATGGCAAATACAGTCAGAAATAGCATTCTAAACGACCTCAAAGAAGTCAAATACTATACAATAATGTTCGATTGCACTTCAGAGGTGTCGCATACAGAACAAATGAACCAGGTCATTCGCTATGTAAAAAAAAAATCTGATGTGTCTAACACATGACTTTCCTATCTAGTTATTATAGGCTTTTTCCGGTTATTTTGTACAACCTATTGCAGCATCTCTATAAATGTTTAGAGGATAAACTAAATATATACATTGGCCACATACATCTACCTCGAAACATTTTTCTATAGATATTCATTGAAAACGAAAATACTGAAAAATTTAAATTTAGCACTTTTCCATTACGGTCCATTTATATACCTATAACTTTCTCGAATACGGACCATTTCAGAAAATTTTGACATAAAACAAAAATTATAGATAATAATATTAGAAGTAACTTTTATTTGCTTTAATTTTTTTCTCCAAACATAAATAGCAGATATATTCCATAAAATATAAAAACGGCCTCCTATAAAGTACCCCCCCAGATGTTCCGACTTTGTCCAAAATCTAATCATTTCACGTCAGGCCGAAATAAACTTTAAGTTTAGAATTTAATGTTCTTTTCTTTATCCGTTTTTGAGTTTTCTTCAAAATTCGAAATTTACACATTTTCTCAAATATCTCGAATACGGTCCATTTTAGAGTAATTATGTACAGAATAAAAATTATAGAGAATTATATTACAAACAACTTTTATTTAAACAATTTTTATAAAAAATTATTTTTTTACATTTTGTCAAATTTCTCGAATACGGACCATTTTAGGAAAACTTTTTATAGAACAAAAGTTATAGATAATTATATTAAAAGTAACTTTTATTTGAAGAATTTTCTTCTCCAAACGTAAATAACAGATATATTCTATAAAATATAAAAATGACCACCTATAAAGTACCTCCCCAGATGTTCCGACTCTGCCTAAAATCTAATCAGTTCATTAGACGCTGGAATAAAACTTAAGTTTAAAATTTGGTGTTTTTCATCGCGAAAATAGTCAAAATGGATTCAGAGGACCTCAAAACGTAAAAATCCGTCGAAAACTCGAGGTAGAAAAAAATCATGATTCCTATACTTTCCTTATATCTGTATACAGATAGGAAAGTAAAAACTGGTGATGTATGTGAAATAAAAGAAAGTTTCATTCACTTTATAGAAGTTGCTGGAAAGACAGTAGAAAACATTTGTCAACAGATAATGAAAAAGTTGACAGTTGATGGTTAAGATATCAGACAATGTCGTGGCCAATCTTATCATAATGGATCAAATATTATGGCTGGCACCTGTAACGGAGTGCAAGCCAGGATTACAGGAAGGAATGAGCTAGGCTAACCTAATTAAAATACATGTCCGAGTCTGACACATCCTGGTATTTTTCGAAAAAATGTTGGCTTAACAGAGAAAGAGCAGCGGTATACCGGTAGTTGTGGGGTTCTTTGGGGGAGGCCTATGTCCATCAGTGGCGGGTGGGGGCGGCAATCTTTAGTTTTTGCCCCACCTCAAAAAAAATTCAAAAAAATTTATGAGCTTGATCGATAAGCTTAAAAATGTCATCTGTTGAATGATATGAACTTTAAATTATGCACAGGCTAATAAAGTTATGCGTCTATTAATTAGCTACCCAGGTAGCACACTGACATTTACAACAACGTCTCTTATTAGTCACTCGTTACGTCATTTTTCACTAAAGGAGTGTCGTCAAAATGACTTCCAGGTCACGTCATTATGTCACGGCCCAGAGACGTCATTTTGTGACGTTACTTTTATGTAATTTTGTGACGTTACTATGACGCTTAAAGCAAATAATATTACAGATAGATAATAATAAACAGTTTTTATTATAAAATAATTACACATAAAAAATCATTAAAACTAAACATTTAACACCATGAATACTGCAAATAAAATTCCAGAAGAAGATGAAGAAATAGTTACTGCAACAAAAACAAGTCACAAATAAATGAATTCCTTACTTATATTTCCCATATTTTTTGTTTTAGCATTATGCAGACATAATTTTCGGTAGGGTATACAATAAACTTCTCTTCTTTGAGGTGTTCATCATTTACAGTACATTACAGCCGTCATAGTCATCCAAAAATTGTATTGCTACTTATATCATGTATGCAATCACCAAAATATAACAATTTGTATGCTCTAACATACATAATATAAGGAATATCTTACCTAATAACAAAAAATTAGGACTATAAGATGTCACTTTTTTACAACACACCTTTCACCTCCGAGCAATTGCTCGGAGCCTTTTACGCATCTTTTACGCCATATTCATGTTAACACAACCCAATTTTTTCTTCTTTTTCTTCATTGCTTTTTCTTATTTAGCCCTCACTCTAACAGCAACCACAATAAAAATATAAAATTCCCAATTTTCTCTTGAAGGACGACAAAAAATTGTTTTTGTCATTCTGGAAAAATAAATCACTAACTTTGTTGGCACTTCAATTAAATTTAAAAATGTATGATCAAATTATGACGTTAAAAAATAATAGGTGGTACTGTAAAGTCGGGTGACTTTGACCTGCATGGGTGACTTTAGCTCAAATCAGTAAATAGTTATGTTTGTTCACAAAAAATTATGTGTTCAATTTTTAAAATAAAACACGCTGGTTGAATTGTAAGGTATTAAAACTACCCAAAATACTTTATTTAAAGACAATTGGACGCTTACGCTTTTTGTAGTATAAAAAATTAACTCATTATAAGGTAATCGAAATTGAAAGAAGATAAAATTTGTATGCAACCAACAATACTGTTATTTGCAATATCTTTTATTATTTTTTAATGATAAAATATATTTTACTATCAACTGTGATAGGTGGCTTTAAACCAGCAAGTAATATTATAGAGAAAACAATGTAAAATAATAGGTGAGTCAAAATCACCCTCTACCTGCGGGTGGCTTTGCACACCCCTGTTTTATTTGAAAAATTAGACCATTTGAGATATTTTTGCTCAATAATTCTTAAAATATAACTGAAAACTAATTTATGGCGATAATGCGAATTTGGATTTTCTTTTATTTAACAATTGAAACTAGTCAAAATTACCCGACTTTACGGTACTGACGTCACACTTATAAAGTTGTCATAGACATCATTTTTAAGTGATATGACGTCAGAGACTAATTATCAACAAGAATGACGTCACGGTGACGTCAGAGTACTATCTGGGAAATCAGCTGATTTATTTATTCACAAACAAACATACGAGTATTCAATAAATATTTAAATATTTGGTTGATTGGAATATTAAACTTTTTTATTGATTGATTGATTGTTGTATCTGATATGTAGCAAAACCATTCAATAAAAATATTGTTTAGTAACCTGTTATACATGGAAGTGTTTCCTTTTTTTAATGAATGACAACGACCATAAAGAACATTTAACCGATGTGACGTAAAAGAAGATTCTTGCTTGTTTACAAATAGGCCCATTAACTTAAAATTTTCCTTATTTTGTTATCTGAACTTTTAACGAAACAACAAGTGAATTTTTATTGTTATTATTGAACTTAATATAATATTTATATTCAAAAAAAGTATTTTTTAAATAATTAATCTACCATAATAATACGTGCTTACTGACACGGATTTGGATTGTAAGATGGTTAAAAAGATTAATCTATATCTCATGGTCATGTCAATATTGAAGTTGGTAATTTCACGTCTATTTATGACTAAAATTTCTCAAAATTACTTTTTTAAAGACACAGGATGTTAAATAAAAAAATAATCAATTTTTTATTAATCTAATCACGTTTAAATTATATCCTGTTAGTAGTACTACCAAAGATAAATAAAATTTACTTTGTGATATTTGATCCTGTAAAGGCTGGTTTACTGAAAGGTAGCCCATATTAACTGAGAAGGAAATTTAAAAGCTCTTATTTTTACCTCAGTAGTATTCGTATATCACAGAATGTTGAGTTGAAGATTGTGATTGATTAGGCCTATCTAATGAAACCAATCTCGATCTCACATGATTGATAGGACACTGTAATTGCAGAAAATAGGATTTTTGTAATTCTCAAAAAATAAACTATTGATTAAAAAATACGTGTTCAATATTTTCATTGTTTTCCTAATAAAAAATGTTTTCACTGGAAATTCAGATATTATCCACATTTAGGGCAAGTTGTAACATAGTTGGAGTGGTTTCGTTACCGGAGATTTTTTAGCAAGTGTTAGCACATTTTGACAATTTTGACATTCCATTTGATGTCATTAACTATCTTCATACTTCCTTCTTCCTTAGTAATCTTAATTTGTTTGTTTTTACAGAAATGCAGAAACACTGATCCATCTACTCAAAGGCAGCTTCGGTACTGGCATCCTCGCCATGCCGCTGGCCTTCTACCATTCGGGATATCTCCTGGGCGTCATAGCTACCGGCGTGATCGGGCTGATCTGCACACATTGTATACAAATGCTTATAAAATGCGAATACGAAGTATGCAAAAGACAAAAAGTACCTAGTATGAGCTATCCAGCCACTGCTCAGGCTTGCCTGAACGAAGGTCCAGAATTTTTTAAGATGTTTTCCGGAGTAGCACCGTAAGTATGAACAATGGAAAATAATTTTTATTAATATTAGTCTGAGCAAAGATTATTTTTGATATTGGACAATAAAAACTCTTTTTTATAATCCATTGTTGAGTTACAACTTGAAAATTGTCACTTTTGGTCACCTCTTACTTCTTTAATGTTTTCATAAGCTCACTCGACGTCTGTCCTCACTTGTCAAATGAGAAAACAATGCCCTCACATCTCATCACTCTCCATTAAAGACACCTTGACATCTTTATTATATAATTAACTTCCAATTTGATTATCTCAATTTTGGAAAAAATATCTCGAGGTAATTTACTTTGAAAGGTCATTTCCCTTGGTGGGATAAATAATAAACTAATTTAAACTGTCCTAATCTTAAAAAATATCCACGTTTCATCCAAGGAAACAAACTCTCATGAATTGCATTAAAACATAATGTCGTTTAAAAACAACATTTTGTGTTTTTTTTGCAATGAAGTAAGTCTATTATTTTAAATTTGTAAGAAAATCTACGATCATTCATAAAGCAATAAAGCCAGAAGCAATGTTAATGTTTGTTTTTTAATTTTGCTTTCATACGTTTCCAATTGCTCCTTTCACAGTATTACTTAAATCATTAATCTTTAACTTCGTTTTTATTTATTTTCTTCACTCGTTGTGCTTCCATGGACTATTACTCGTTTTCTGTCTAAAATTCAGGCAATAAATCTCAGCATAAAGTAATAATTTGGGGGAAATTATTTACAGGGTCTAATTTTTAACAACTTGTTTATTTAATCTGGATGTATTTTGTAATCCTTGTGTATTTTTTTGTATTTAATGCCTAATCTATGTTATAAACTCATTTCAATCTGGTTTAGTTCATAAATGGCAAGTGCAAGTAATCCTTACGGGAATGTCTAAGGTCATTGAAGTAAATGTGAACTACTGTTAGTAACGATGTACTTGTACTTGCTCATAACCTTGCATATTTTATATTATTGTAAATTATAATTCAAAACGAATTGTGCCATATCCGTATTTATACTCTACGAGGTACTCCCAAATAGTGATCAGGTGTAAAAAAAATATTAATAGATGAGGACTGGGGGATCTTTGGCATTTAATCCAACGGTGGGTTATGTCCAATGGATCAAATAATGTTTGGATCATAACTGATCTCAGTTTGGATACAATTTTTTTGAATGGTTAATATTTTATTTAGTCAATGATCTACTGAACCAAAATCAAATCTAGTTGGCAATTCTGATAGCTATATTTAATCGACCAAACTGTCAAACTATATTAGTTCTGAGGAGTCATTTATACATCTGTGGATTTTTCAAAAAAATAACTATTTTTTATAGATCGAATTAAAATTTTTCTAAATTTATTATTATTTCGCATTGAAATGATTTTCCCTAAAAAGAAAATTTCTTGGTTGTCTTGTAAATATCACAAATTATTTATTAATTCGAATAAATTTTACTATCTGTTAAAACTACATCCAAGTTGAAGAGGCATAAGACATGAATTAAGATCATTCACCCATTCTTCTCTCTAGTGACACCATTATTCAAAAGGAAAGCGCTCCTAGACTAATAAATAGGAGAACAGACTGGCAAAGCTTCAGAATGGACCTTGAAAATTAAATTAATCTTTTATTTCCGTTAAGAACAAAAGCACAGCTAGATGAAGAAGTAGAACTACTTATGTCTAACATACAACAAGCAGCATGGGATAATACGCCACCTATTGTGCAGCAAACAACAGGAAATAACTATCCTAAAGAAATAAGAGACCTAATCTCTGCGAAAAGAAAACTAAGGAGGAAATTACATCAGACCAGAGCTCCATCAGATAAAACCAAACTTAACAACGCCACCCAGCAGTTAAAAAGAAAGATAAAACGAATCAAAACTGAATCTATTTGTGAGTACCTTAGTGAGTTGACAAACGATAAATTCACTGATTATTTTCTATGGAAAGCCACAAAGCGACTAAAAAGGCCCACTGCTCAGAATGCTCCAATCAGGAATACAGACGGTAGCTGGGCTAGAAATAATATACAAAAAGTTAATAGATTCGCAGAGCACTTACAAAATACCTTCCAACCAAATGAAGGAGAAGAATTACCGAACTGGGCTCTTCTAGAGAGAGATGACTTAATTATTAGACCAACCTCTCCAAAGGAAATTGCAAAAGATATAAAAACAAATATTTATCCTAATTACAGGAGACATCTTAAAAGTATTTCCGAAGAAAGCCATAATTAAACTTACACACCTGTTTAATGCTTCATTCAAACTAAGGTATGTCCCTAGATTGTGGAAAGTAGCTGAATTCATTATGATCCCCAAACCAGGAAAACCTCCGAACGAAGTTTCGCCATATAGGCCAATATCTCTATTGCTTATAATATCGAAACTATTTGAAAAAATACTAATAGAAACACTGAAACCCATCATTGAAGAAAGGATACATTCCAGATTACCAGTTCGGCTTTAGAGAAAACCATTCAACTATAGATCAGGTTCATAGAATCTCAAATGCGATTGAAAAAGCATTTGAAAACAAAGAAGTCTCTTCAGTCATCTTCCTCGATGTTGCGCAAGCTTTTGATAAATTATGGCATGATGGCTTAAAACATAAACTGAATGTGCTACTTCCACAGCCATACTCAGAGCTATTGGATTCATACATTTCAGATAGATTCTTTAGAGTAAAACAAGATGAAGCATACTCTGAATTGAAAGAAATTAAAGCAGGAGTACCCCAGGGAAGCGTCCTGGGACCCATTTTGTATCTGTTGTACACTTGTGACATACCCCAACTAGAACAAGACACAATAGCTACATTTGCAGATGATACTGCCATCCTAGCGATAGACAAAGTTCATGAAAAGGTTGCAAATAAGCTAAAAATATCAGTTAATCATATAAATAATTGGACCAAAAGATGGCGTATTAAACTAAACGAAAGCAAATCTATTAATATTAATTTTACTAACAAAAATGGTCAGAGAATACCAGTTTGGACCTATGGTATTCAGCTCTGGGGTTGTGACAGCTACAGTAGTATTCTAATAATCCAGAGATTCCAGAACATTGTCGATGCTCCTTGGTACATTAGAAACAGCGACCTTCATCGAGACCTTCAGATGGACACTGTTGACCAGACTATCACCAGATTCGCTAGGAGTCACGAACAACGGCTCTACGAACATGTGAACGTTGAGGTGATCCAGCTTCTTGGCAACACGAATCTGACAAGAAGACTCAAGAGAGTGAAACCATTTAACACAACGGTGGAATCAACCCTAATGAATTTATGCAGAAATTATAGGTTGCTTGCATATGAAAGCTGGATAGCGGGTTTTTAACAGTTGATAGGTTATAGTCACGAAATGTCAGCGCAGTAACAGATGCGCGTTAATACTGATTGTTAGTTATACTAAGGTTAAACAATTCATGTCGTGTAAACTTAATATAGCCACACGTTTTGTAGCCAGAATCAGGATCAAATCTGCTGAACCTAGTTTGAACTATTGATACAAGGAAGCTCAAATGAAATACTCTTCACGTATTTTTTAATTTAAAAACTCTACTTTTCTGATTTATTTGACAAAATAGAAGTAATTTATAAGTAAACAATATAAATACTCGTATAAACAGTTGAAAATCTAATGACGCCTTTTCTTTTTTCAGACACATTGTAAATATATTCCTCTTAATCTATCAGTTGGGAACAGGCACAGTTTATACAGTATTCGTCGGCGAAAATATACAGGGCGTTCTAGCAAGCAACGGCATCGACGTCGATGCTAGACTGGTGATGACCGCCTGGTTGCTGCCTTTGATTTTGATCAACTACGTGAGGAATCTCAAATTTTTGGCGCCTTTTTCTACGATAGCCAATTTTATAACGGTGGTTAGTTTCGGAATCATCGCCTATTACATGTTCAAACAGGATTTTACCTTCGAAGAAAAGGAAGCATTTGGAAGTATTAGAGATTATCCTCTGTTTTTCGGAACGGTTCTGTTTGCTCTGGAAGCCATTGGCGTGGTAAGTGTCTAAATGTATTAATGGGCAAGATGGTCACTATCTTGTGGTACGAGTAGTAATTGTAATCACCAAAAAGGTAACTGTTGAGACAAACTTTGATAACGTAAATTGTAATTACTTTCAGTAGATACTGCAATTTTTTTCACTTTGAATAATGCTATAAGGTACAGGTGTTTTCAGATTACACGAACAAATATAAAATTTTATCAATAATTAAAGAAATTAAAAAATTTACTACCAAAGTATCAAATTATCTTACTAAGCCTTTGCTTATGCAACGCCTAATACTTGACTACTACAATAATATATGTCTCGAACTTTCTGGATTAAAAATATTGACTATAAAAACTACCGGGCGTGTTAGATGTTAGTGACATTGTTGTGTTACATATGCTGCGTTTGTTTATTCACTTCGGATGCTCCTGAGATGTTGTGAATCTTTGCTCAGGTGATTCAAGATACGTAGATGTGGATAAACAAACGCTCGAGGTGTAAAAAATGTGGATATTCAAACGTAGCAATAAGAGATTATATATGGTGTAGTTCAAACGGTGAAGATCAAAATGTTTCCCATCCAAATCCATTAGCAAACACCCTGTATGCCGCCGCCATAGCCTCCTTCTCCACCACAAGGTGTAATAGAGGAAGACCTAGCAGTAGCTCCGTTGCTGCTGTGAGCGTAGTTCTAAATGCTCCTGTTATTATTAGACAGGTTAGTCTTTGCACCTTGTTTAATTTTCTGTTAGCTGTTATCCTTTTAGTCTTGTGCTACTATATGACTGATGAGAAAGTTATAACAAGTACTACAACCATGGTGTAAAGCCAGTGCATCATACTTATTTTAAGCTGCCATATGTTCCCTGTCATCCGTCTACAGACCCATAGTATTCTTACTGCTTTTTCTGTTGTTTTTTTTTTATATGGCTGCAGAAGCTAAGCTTGTCATCAAGAGTGATTCCAAGATATTTAACCTCTTTTGCCTTTTTTAGATGTTGTCCCCACATATAGAGCTCCTTCATTCCTTGAAGGTTCCTTTTTCTTGTGAATGCAACAACAGAGGCTTTTGTCGGGTTTGTGGACAATTCCTCTTTTAGGCACCATCTTTCGACGATATTTAGTGCCCGCTGCATCCTTTCGGATACAACAGACCCAAATTTTCCGTTTACTACGATGCTTATGTCGTCTGCAAATGCTTATGTGTATAAGTTTTCTCTCTCTAACTTCCTTAAGAGGTTATCAACCACCAAGGTCCATATAAGAGAGGATAACACTCCTTCCTGCGGACATCCCTTGTTAACTGAGACCTCTCTTGTTGTGTTAAGGAGATTACTGGTAATGGTTCTATGATTAAACATGAACTCAACCCACCTCGTATTGCAGTGGGCTACTCCACGCCTGTGCATAAATCCCACCCAGTATTGAATTGTATGAAGCCTAGTCAAAGGCTCCTTCTATATCTAGGAAGACTCCTAATGCTATTTCTTTGCTTTCCAATGCTTGTTCAGCCTGTTGAGCTAGCCTATGTATGGCTACATCGCAAGACTTTCCAGATTGGTAGGCAAACTGGCCAGCGCGACTTTTTCCCTCCCAGGTGATCTTAATACTGATTTTTGGTTATACTGGGATAATATACTGATGTTTTGTTTGTTTATTCATTAGATGAAAGAGTGCGCTTCTCAGTTCGAGAAACATTGACATTACCCTTATTTTTTTTACAGATCATGCCTCTTGAAAATGAAATGAAAACTCCACAACATTTTGGAAGTACATTTGGGGTGTTAAACATCGGTATGACAGCCATAGTAACTTTGTATGTTGCAATGGGTTTTTTTGGATACATCGCGTTTGGAAAACATGTGGGAGGTTCAGTGTCCTACACCATTGGAAATGACATGTAAGTAAACGAATATTGTAAAAAGTTTTTAATAATAACTAAAATTACTTTTAATTTTTTTAGTCCTGCTCAAGTCTGCAAAATAATGTTGTCTCTTGCCATATTTATCACGCATGGACTCCAAATGTTTCCAGCTATCGAAACGATATGGAACCAATACCTCCTTCCTACATGTCAAAAAAGTGAACACAAATTATTTCTTGAATATCTTACCAGGACAGTCATGGTTGTTTTTTGCTGTAAGTATAGTTTTGGTCAGAAGGAGTAGCCTATTTAGCACCCCATAACAATATAACATATTATATTTACCAAATCTTGCCTATTTACTAATCTTTTTCTTTTGTTTTCAGATGGGTTAGCCGTAGCAGTCCCTTATATCGATCTTTTCATCTCCCTCTTCGGAGCTCTGACGCTTGCAGCTCTAGGATTGGCCATTCCCGCTATCCTTGATCTGAGTACGTACTGGTACTCGTTGACAGGTGTCAGAGGCCAGCTCAGAATCGCGAAGAACTGTTTTATAATTTTAGTTGGAGTTTTCGGACTGATTGTTGGAACCTCGACGAGTTTACAGAAAATTATAGAAAAATTTACGCCTACTGCGTAATAGTGTGATATTATTATGGGTGATATAGATTTAAGTTAAGCAGGATGGTGCCTGGAATCCGAAGATTTTTTCGAAAAAAAAAAAAAAAAAAATTGTCGCATTTAAATGATTGATTGACACAACAAAATTATTTCGACTTAGTTCAAAATGGTGATAATTCTGGAGTACCTATACAAGTTTTGACTGGAAAATTCCTAAAAATTTTAAATAAAAACTACTTTCTGCCGAGATTAAGATGCTGTTCTACATTGTTGCTTTGCCTTATAATTATTTACATAGTCAATTTTTTTTAAGAAGTCGATTGACTGAAAACGAGATCTTTAACGTTATTTTTAATTAGAATACTAAAAAAGTGCCCTGGTGTTAGATCAGGCGAGGACGTGGGCTGTTTAATGTGTTTTTTAACTCGAATTCAATGCATTTGAATCTCCTGACAGACAATTTGAGAGCTAAATCTCAAATGGCGTGATCAGAACAAATCTATCCATCCATAATATCGTTTTTGTTCATATTTGTTATAAAATTGTTATGAAATTTTGGTAAAATAAGGGAATACGTCAAGATATTGGGGACATGCTAAATTTAAAAGTAGTGTTCTAAAAAAATCCCATATTGGCGTACAGATTTTTTTCAGATTTACAATTTTGCCATTTAATGTTTTTAGGTTAAATCCCTTTTTGAAAGTCAAACTAAGAAATACTGATAACTTCGGTAGCCTCTATTCAAACAATTCCTACGACCAATAGGAATCCAGATAAATAGCAGAGCTTCCATATCAGATGAAGATACGCCAATTTGGTATTTTACTTTTTAGACGCTAGAATCATAATTCAGCGTGTCCCCAAATGACCATTGATTGTACTAATCACTTGTAAAGTACTTCCATTGCTGTGATGGGTTCTGAAGGAGAATCAAATGGATTGTAACGAATAATAATCAAATTATAAATAATATTTATTTATAAAAAGACGCGCTTTTTTAAAAAAGCATTTAGATTTTAAGAGAAAATATGTAAAGCAGATGTCCTGAAATTGGACGGTCATATTTTATAACAGCGTAATCTATATCCTAAAATAGGAGTAAAAGTTCATTTAAACATGGGTACTAAAATGGTTCGCTTCTGAGATACAGGGTGCTAAAAGAGAATTTCTGATGACACATTTTTGTAAATATTTTCTAAACGTTTAAAGACAACTAAGTAAAATTTGGTAAAAATGCTAAACTTTTTACGCTCTATTTACCCATCTTCATAGGTGGGTAAATTAGGGGGGCTTAGGGTAAAATTGCCCTAAGTTTTCTTGTTGACAACTTTTAACATTTTTGACTACAAAATATAGGTCTCTATGTTTATATAAACTGTTACCTACTCCTATTTTAGGATGTTAAAATATGACCATCTACTTTCGGGACACTCTGTATATGTAATGTATGCAAGGTGTTTATTAATTAAGTGCCGATATTTAAGGGTTTGAACCCTTGGCTGATTTTAAGAAGAAAAGTTAATATCAATATATGTTGTAAACATTTCTTATTAAAATCCCCCAAGAAATCACTCCGTGAATTATTGGCACCCTGTATATAGATTAATTATATTATATAAAGTATAATTGATTTGTATTATATAATTTGGTTTAAATCACCAACCAGTCTATCCGAAACTATAGAGAACAATATTTTAATATTTCTGTGTGTATTACGGGTTGCCTAATGTTAGTAAGAGTATAGGATCATAACAAATTTGTTTATCTGTGCAAAATTCTAAAAACAAGATAATTCAATTAAATGTTTTCTATCGTCATGTTTTTTAAAAGATTCCGATTTTTTTCATATCAGTATACAGAGAATAATTTGTAGCTACAGTGGCGGAGTTAGGATTATTGGCGCCCGGGGGACAGAATGGGGAATTTACCAGAGGCGGCTCGTGGTAAGTTTATGAGGAGACTGGCTATTTCTGATATTTGTATTCTAATAGAAATATATAATTATATTAAGTATAGAGGGTGTGTCTTTTCAAATTAGCCTCCGCATACTCCGCGTAGACTAGGCCACGAGGCGCCTCTGGAAATTGCCACGCCTTCATTTTCACGAATGTGATTAGAATAAAGAAAAAGCTACAGAAACATTGTTAAAAAATATTTTTATGAAAGACTATGAACATTTTCAAGTGCAAAATCCAGTTCAATGTTACCGATTCAATTTCAATATCTATTAATATTAACATCAGTAAATATAAAAAGCTTATAACAGTTTTAAAAAGGCAGTCAGAAAAGCATCCCACTATACATGAAACATTACCAGTCTTTTTTGTAACATTTCTCATAGAGACTTTTCTTGATATATTTTTAAAACGGTACTAAAATATACCATAGATGTTTAAATTTTAACATCATATTCATTAACATCCCTTGCATGTATCTACAATTGAAGTTACATAAACATCTTTTGTACTTCTGTTTAGTTACTTCCTGTGACAAACATTAATACGATGTTATGTTATGGGGTGTTAATACAATGTGACCTAAAAGATATATTGTGCCTCCTTCTGTCGCTAATGCACCAAAGAAATGTCTCAATGCCTATAACGGCCCTTTCAATTTTATCTTCTCAAGGAAGTGTAGGATTTGGAGTGGCAACAAGTTAGGTAAATCTCCCTCTTCTATTTGATATCCTCCTAGGTATAGTGCCCTAAGGTGTCCTTTTAGTAGACAATGATCGGTAAGGATCCCTGTTACAATACGTAGCCTGTTCTTGCTCAGGCAGATGCAGGCTTCCGATCTTTTCTGGTTATATTCACCCAGAAGTATCTTACCTGTCTCAGCCCCAAGACAGATTGTTCCAATTATCGGTTCTTCCACTGCCCAATTCTTTTTTAATTTCTCCTAATATTATGTTACTGCTGATACCGCAGAACGGCTTAGGTCCTACAAAGGGTGTTTCAGTCCCTTTCCTTGCAAGACTATCTGCAATATCGTTACCCTGTACCCCGTTATGTCCCGGGACCCAATTGAGAGTAACTCTATTTTTCTCGCCTACCCCATTCAATTGTTTTAGGCATTTCCAGACCATTTTTGAGTTGATTATATAAGAGCTCAGCGCTTTGATGGCTGCTTGGCTATCTGACATGATGATAATTTCTTGTTTATGATAGTTTCTCTCGATGTTAAACTGGATAAACTTCTCGATGACGTGAATTTCCGCCTGGAAGATGCTTGGATATTTTCCCAAGCTTCCTTAGTGCTTGGTTCTCGGCCCATACACTCCTATTCCAGTTTCTTCTATGGTTTTGGAACCGTCCGTATACCACTGAATAGCATGTCTTTCGGTTGCAAGTGCGATGGATTTTTGGCTCCATTCTTTCTTGCAGCCCAGTTCTGTGGTTATCCAAAGTACCTATTTACATAATGAACAACATATTAATTTTTTTTATAAAGCTCCAGATGGCAAATTTTTCATGATGAAGGTAATACAGGATAATTTACACTTGAATATTAAAATACAAATTATTTTAATAAGTGTGGTCGTAGATAAAACGTTGTGACACACTTTCAAGCACAAGTTGCCAATATTATGTTATATATACATAAATACCTACTTACTATTTGCTTTAAATAGTTTTACAGTAGATATGAGTGTTGTTCAAAATATTTAAAAAATAAAAAATTGTTTTATATAATTACGTTATTTTCTTCTTTTTCGTTTAAAAAATTGAAACCATCGACATTTACTGTTTGACCTCATATTTTATATCTATCTTTTGATTTTTGGCACAACTCCCGTATATTTTTACCACGAAAAGTTTAAAAAAGTGTGTTTCAATAGATATTGTTTTTTTTTTAATATATGTAATATTGAAAGTATAATAATGTTAGTGAGATTTAGTAAATTAAAAATAAAACCAGTGTTTTTTTTTACAAATATGATGTAAAATTATTGCTTTATTTTCTATTCTTATTGTATATAATAGGTATTTATTAACCAATATATTTTGTATATATGTAGTTATTAATAAAAAAATCAGAATACATATTTTTTGTTTTGTTATTTTTGAACTTTGTTTTCTAAAGCTGAGAATATGTTAATTGGGTTTGTTAAAATTGAAAATAGGAAAATAATTCAAATGTGATACGAACGTAAAATAAAATAAAGAAAATAAACTCTAGAAGCCATATCTGTCACAATTAATACACGCAACCAAAATCAAATACAGTTTACCTTGCACTACGTTTAAACTCTTACAACTCATTTATTTTTTATTGACAATTCTACTCACCTCTGATATCCACAAATCAAAATTCCCTTACCTTTTCCAATAACACGACCCACATCGTTCAATTTTGACAACTACGATCTCTGATATCTAATATTTTTTTATCTTACGATATTTCCACATAAAATTCCCCAAATTTATTGTTCACCCAGTATTTTTCTCAAAAAAATGGTGAACAACAAAATCAATTTTTAATTTGAAGTTTCTAAAATAACATTTAACAATTCCCTCAACAGAATCTTAGTTTTTTCGTTTTCAAATTGTTGATTTCTGTTAATTTTTGTGTATTTTTAAATATTTACTATTAACAATACTTTTATTACTTCAAATAACAACTTTTTACATTTTCTCTTCATATTTATACAAATCTTGTATATGAAATGTTTCTCGAATGTTACAAATCTTACAAATACTCTATACTACATCTATTGACCCTATTTCGATTGACAGTTGACAAATTCCTCGTTGACCGTGAATTGTCAGCTGTCAACGGTCAATTTGTCCAATCTGACATGAGAATTGAATTCAGCGACCTCAAAAACCCAAACTTTCAGTGTGAAAAGAGGATATTTACTTTTAATTCCTCGTTGACAGTCAATTGACAGCTGTCAACTGTCAATTTGTCCAATCTGACATGAGAATTGAATTCAGCGACCTCAAAAACCCAAACTCTCAATGTGGAAAGAGTATATTTACTTTTATATTCCTCGTTGACAGTGAATTGACAGCTGTC